AGATAAACTTAATTGACCTAAGGGTTCTAACAACCCAATAAGACTAGATAATTCAGTCTACCAAATACCTTGCTGAGACTGGGGTCTAATGTATTCGCTGATTTGGGCGGTCAGTGTCATATGGTTTACCAAGAAATAAGAGACTTTCCAAGTCTAGAATGATAAAGTCCACTCGGATGATCCCTGTACCGAAGAAATCAGCCATGCTATGACTCAGTCACGCATTAAAATCATATAAATTGACGGTTATAAAGACCATTGTGGTTAGCTGTAGGGACAAGTTGCAAATAAATCACAGATTCAGTATCTAACACATGTAATAATAATGATTTAATGCCAATTCTATATATTTGGAAAATCCTACTACAAATCAAATCAAAGAGTGAACTTTTAAAAACACTAGGGTGGAAAGTTGCATGTTTATTTGAGATGAGTATGAGTAATAAATTGGACTCAAGGTTTTATCTGGCAATACTATCACACTGTGCTATATCAAACAGTCCAATCTAATGTGGAATTAAGCTTCACCGCAATGCTTAATTTTTATACTAACAATAATCAGTTACTTGGGACAATCACCGACATGATTACTGGTCTACAATATTCTTTACGTTCTGTTTGAATAAATCCAGTAATTATTACTTTACCCTAACAGGTCTCTGATGACTATTCAGCAAAAAAGCATTGGAACTTGTAAGTTGCCAAAATAAGTAATGAAATGAAAGCATGCCACCCACTTTCTGCAGCAATTTAGTTGTTGACAGTCAGTGATGAATCCTTGAAAATCCAGATACGTGTTTGTTACCACCTAAAATGATGGATAGTAAAATTAGATTAGCTTAGCTTAGTGCATTTTAATTTCACATGAAGTCATGTTTCATTTTCTTTGGGAATGAACAAACTAATTTTCATCATTAGTGCACGTTACATTTCCTAGCTTGGTGTTTTTCACAAAAAGAAGAGAAACCATTCTAAATAAGCCTTGGTAAGGAGGAAATCAGTATCACAATCTGAAAGAATCTATATGATAGATAATCTAGACAGAATGTAACTCAAACGAGCTTCTAAGATATATTATAAATCAGTCAGAGGAAGACATTTTTGTTCCTAACAGATACAAGAATAAGTTGATTATGTTTATGGAAAACGCCATAAATTAAATGATTTTGCTACAAAGATAAACATAGAAATAAGAAGCTATCTGGATAGGAAAGCAATCAGCATGTTAATAAAATATCTGCAAATGGTCATCTGTACTCATCCCAATGCAAGAATCTAGGGTTTTAAATGCCACATGATAAGATCTGATTGTTTAACGTGTTTTCTGATCGATTCACACTAATCTAAGGTGATTAACTGTGAAATGATCATGAATTGCCACTGGACGAACATTGGAACACTGGAAAAATAATTATTTCATTATGATTTGGCTATCTAAGATAGCCGTAGTTTGGCAGACTAGTATTTGTACTGGGTGATGATTGAAGGTGAGATGGAAATCTGGACTGCGGCCAGATTTCTAGCCAGCGACCACGGCGTTACCTGCCCGGTACTCTACCAACTGAGCTACGAGGTCCGACTGCTGTCCAGATTTTCATCTCACCTTCAATCATCACCCAGTACAAACACTAGTCTGCCAAACTACGGCTATTTTAGATAGTTAAATCATAATCAATGTGATGATCGCCCTCTCTGATTCAGTTAGACTGGGACTGGGATGAGAAGTCCTGACTAGACAGCCAATGTGAACACGATCAAGCGGTAGTAACACGTCACAAATTCACATGGTAGTCGGGTAAAACCCTTGGTGATTGAAATGAATTAAAATTCTAGTCAGCAGTCAGACCTCGTAGGTCAGTTGGTAGAGCACCGGACTGGTAACCCAGTGGCCGCTGGTTTGAATTCAGCAGCGGTCCAGATCTTCATCTCACCTTCAATTATCACCCAGTACAGTTATTTTATTATTGGGAATGTGAGCGATTTCACTTCAGGTAAAGTATATAAAGCAAATATGATAAATGTTTTATGCATAACTAATAATGAACTTGAAAATAATACACTTTTATGGCTGGAATTAGCGGTGCATCTTTAAATTACTATGAAAATAATCTTTTCTTACTGACAAAACGTTGGAAAATTCTATTGTATGCTAATTGTAGTTCAAAAGTTTCAAATATGAAGTATATGTTTAATTTAAAAAACGTGAATGCCAAATTTGTTTCATGCAAACTGACGCTTAGAAGAGTGGAAATAAGCGAACATCTCTCTCTCTCTCTCTCTCTCTCTCTCTCTCTCTCTCTCTCTCTCTCTCTCTGCCTATAATCTGTTTCTGATCGTATTTGGGTTAAACAAGACGGCTCAATAAACGTGGTATACCATACACAAAAGCAAGCAACTACTCTGACCAACTGTCAGTTTATCGTTACATTTGATGAGTTCGGCTAGATTAATTTGCATTAATGAACTTATATTTCACGTTTTATGGTATGGTGGTAGTAACATAAATCCTTTGCTGGCATGCTTGGAACCTCTTTTATAACAATCACTCAGTATTTCTGGATTGAGTTTGTTGACACACAGATATAGATACCGGTTCATGAAAAATCTAGAAATTGAGCAGGTGTGCATGAGTTGTCTGTAAGCAGCTAGTGTGATACCCATTGTTTGATGATAACAATGGTGTTTCATAAAAGAAAACCACAAGATTTAGCCGAATATGTCTATCGATATTGATGCAAACTCTGTGATGTGCAACAAGGCTTACATGAATTGACAATTATTAATTGTTGTTATGCTTTGAGCTATTTTCGCACAATATCATGGATTGTCTATAACAAGTGAACAGATAAAGTCATGCAACAACGTCAAGGTGCATCAAGGAATGAAATCAGAAATGAACTTCAGAATAGGTAGAAAGGTAAAAGTTCACTACGAAGCAGCACACTGAGTTGCGAGTTTACTGAGTTGAAGGATTCGGGTAATGCTATAGGAAATTCACGTTGATCGTGATATACAGATATACTGGCATAATTTCGAAGTGATATAGAATGACTGGAGCTACAGCGGGTGCTCTTATTGACGTGACGTTTCCTGAGCTTCACGATAACACCCTTTACTGAAGATAACACAAGTAACACCAATAATTAAGATGAGACATGGCAGCCGAATACGCTGACATTAAGAAGCCGAGTTGATGCACATTACAATTAGGCAAAGAGATAGATAAGTTGTTTTCTGTCAACTAATATGTTCCTATATATATATATTAGACGAAGACTTCTTCAGTATAAAAATCCCCAGAGATCTATTACTCTTTTAGATTCCTTGTCCCTCTGAAAGTAAAACTTCATATGTTCTCAGGTTCAATTTGAATTGAACTCAAAGAACGTAACAAAGAAAAGTAAACGGAAGTCTAGGTTATTGAGATAAAAATATGGTTGTTTACTGATACTTCTAGTTTCCCGTTGCCATACAGGTTCAAATTCCTCGACCTCTGTTGGCAGATGGGCTCCTATGCAGATATCTCATTACGGCCTGGATACTCATTATATTGTAGTTTATTTGATGGCTAGCAGTAGAACCCAGGATGAGCGTTTCATTCTGTTTAAGATTTGTAATGTGGATGTATCAGCAATTCAGTGGATAATTTTGTTGCCACTGAAAATCGAACTCATAATCCATTAAGTCCCAGTGGGAACCAAACCATTCACTAGGGTGCAGGCACACACAGCTGACGAATCCCAAACGGGACGAAACCCATGAACTGAATTTCACTCTTAGCCATTTAATAGACTTTAGTATAATGAATTATTCAGGCAGTATCGAGACATATGCTTAGGATTCCGTCTACCAAATAGAGGTCAGCAATTCGACCCAGTATTCCATGCACATCACTTCTCACACCCTAAAATAAGCCACAGATTCCTAAAAGTACTTACATTCGAGACTCCAGCTCTACAGATACGTTTTCTGTGAGAATCATCAGTGCATTTCATTAGTGTAACAGCTTGTCAAACATGCAAACAAACAAAATGGAAACGTATAAAGTGCCATTCTTATCGTGAAATAATCATGACCAATGACAATAGTGAGTACTGATCAAAACCCTATGAACATGGTACAGAAATGAATAACCTAAGATACGATGTCCTGTAGCATTTCAAAATATCTTGAAAAGCATTTGCGAATACGAAAAGCACAAAAATAAAGATGAGTTGTACTAAGTGATTACGAAATCTCTAAATCAACTGAGAGAAACCATCTCTCGGCCGTTTGAACAACAATTAACAGATATGTTTACAAAGACTGAAAAGTGACCTACTAATGAACAAGTTTCGGTAACTTATTGCACCAATAAAATTGGCAATATTCAATTTACAAACTATCTGAATCTGTCCTTTCTCTTTTTTCCATAGTAAAATATCAGAATCGACCAGTAACTGCCTATCAGTATTTACCAGGAATATGTTTGGTTTCATATATTAACCAATCAGAAAACAGAATCGCTCAAATGCCCTAACAATGTAAGAATTTGACTCAGTTAATATCTGCTACTGAGAGATGCCGAAGGAAATTGTTTCTATGAGAGTATCAGTAACAAGAGAAAAACACAATTTTGGAAATAAATATTAATTTCTGAACAGGAATAATCACAATACTAAAAGAGAATAGTTATATCTGTCTACCGGTTCTCCGACAGAAAACAAAAGTTAAATATTTTATCGAAAATCATTAAAAATCTTATTGCCAAACAAAACAATAAAATAATGATTATTAACAATACAGGAGGCTACCAATATCTTCAAAAATCTTATTCCTCATCAACAAGACTATATGAAAGCCTAACTAAATATTTTCTTGTCTGGTATTTGCCAACAGCGATCACTCTTGGGTTTGTCGGATCTATATTTTGTTTGTTTTTCTTATTAAGATCGAAATTTTTTTCACCCAACTTACAGATTTGGCTTATAAGTATTTGCATAGGTGACTTTTTTGTATTAATGATGGAAGGTATTTGGATGTTACTCAAAGTATGGTTTAAAATTGATTTAAGAGATTATAACGATTGGTTGTGTATATTTCATACAAGTTTATCAAACTATTTTTTATATTTCTCAGCATATATGCAAAGCATTTTATCAATTCAGCGTTGCTATGTTGTTTTACGTCCATTGAGAGTAAAATCAAAATCTTTATCATTATCGAGATTATTGATATACCAAGGAGTGATATCATCATTACTCATATTACCGATTCTCCCATACCCACTTTATTGGAGAGTTATAGACGGGGATTGTGATCCTGTGAATGAAAAACTATTTCGTCTCACAACATTATGCGACTTATTGATATGGGGATTTATACCTGTATTTGTCATGACAACATGTACTGGTATTATTTTCCGTAATTTATTCATAAGACACAAGTTTGTCAAGTCGACTTTTCAGAAAAATATCAAAATGAGCAATAATCAAAGTTCTTGGTCGTACACCAGTACCAGTACCAGTAATTTATGTAAACATAGTTATCAGTCGGAGTATGCAAGTCATATGAAAACATTGAGCCATTCAGAAAATCTATTATTATGTCAAGAAACTGTATTTAATTCATCTGATCATAGGACTAGTTTTATAAATGATATTAGACTACCTCCTGATGTAAATCAACGTCGATACATCTCACAAGATAGTAATACACGTATAACACCTCTTTTAATATGTATGAATCTTGTTTATATGGCGAGTGTATGCCCACTACTTATCTACTTTCTTTGTTTAAACTTCATTTTTAAAAGCATTGATAGTGATACGCATAGATTTTTCTATTACTTATTTCGAAGTTTTTGTTTACTAAATACATGCACCAACTGGATATTTTATTGTGTTGCTGGTAAAATGTTTCGTGATAAGACTAAACAATTACTGATATCATTGTGTCATACACGAAAAAATTCAACCCATATTGATGAAAATGGCTATTTAATAATTAGATATAATAATAAAAGTAGATGTTCAATATCCAATGTGACAAGGATAAGTACAAAACTTTCACAGTCAATAAACTAACATTTTTATAACAATGTATAACTGTTATCATATTACCATTGATGAAAAATAACAAATTTTTTAAAGCAGCTTATGTTTTACATTCTTTGATGACTGTCATTAACACATTCCTTATGATAAACAAAGGTCTATGAGAAGACCTTCAAGAAAGTATATTTTAGAGACGTTTATATGCTGTTTCAAAAAAGGTAATGCAAAAAAGGTTTTTTTTGAAGTTGTACTTCATCATGTAAAAATGTTTTCATCATTGTACGCTACAATGTACACATGTAAATCTTAAAAATACATTTTTATTTTTATTCATTTTGCCTTCCAAACATCATACTGAACTTAAACTCTCAAAAATCACCACAACGTTTTGTTTGTTTTCAGATGTTATACTTTACTGTGAAAATTTTAGTAATAATATATGCTAGACCTATTTTCCTTCTTCAGAATGTATCATATACATACAATTTCTTTGAATATATTGAGAAGGTAAGAAAGATTGAATCTGTTCACTTCACTTCATCAATACCATTCCATTTTCCCTCATAAATTAACCACAATCTAGAACTGAAATAAATATAAGCGCTAATCATTATTGTAAATTATAGTTATTTTTTTTAGCTATTCTGTTTATTCATGAGATAATAAGTAAGCGTCTCGTTCCAATTATGAAAGTTTCATCAGCTTAGTGGTACTGTCACTCTGAATGCAACGAATGTAGTTTTCAGTCTGCTACAAAAACCCATACCCATCTTTTGATGTGCTTTTTTTCTAGGCTAGGAATTAAGTGCATTAACTGCGAAATTATAGTGTCTAAAGTTAGCAATTTCAACAAATACAGCAAATAAGACAGTGGTTCATTTGTGCTTGCAGATGTGCAATGACAAAACAAACTATCGAATATCTTTTGACCCATTTTGAAAAGCTGCTCACAGACTCCTGTTTTCCTCATTTCATTAAAACTTGAACTTCAAGTTGGTGTTCATCATGAACTGACATCAGTTGAACAACCACTGAAAATCTGATAGCTCCTAACAGCCGTTTCTTATTAGTACGGAACTCTTCAGAAATTCACATTCTTGACTCCGCTAGGGATCGAAACAAAGACTTGCAGATTTTGTAGAAAACACGTTGCCATTGAGTTCCTGGGTTGAAATTCACTGGCCTACATCTTTTTCCTACTTCTGTCAGTTAGCTATATAACGCGACCTTCATCCAATACCATCGTTGACTGCCCGTCCTCAAATTCGATTTGGTTTATTCCACTGACCACTGCATCTCATTAAAATTGTGAAAAATCTCATCTCGATGTAAATCACTTGATGTATGTCAACTTGAAATCAATAGAGTCCTCACAAACCTTCAGATTAAAAAACTCCAAATGCATAAGTTATTCTTCCATTTTCTGAGTCTCTTCCTTCAGCGACCTTCTTGCTGATAAATTTTATAACTTTTCGTTTCAATACATCTAAGTAATCGCTAGTCCATGCAATAATTCAGAGTTTGGTTTTCCGCATTTCCTTGGTTCTCGTTCTATGGCAGCTTCTAGTTGTCACTTCCACTTTGAACGAATATTTCATTTTATTCACTGACAGTACGTAGATAGTCGGTTAAAACATACATTATCTTGAGCTTTTGATACTCTGTGGCTTGAAATGGATTCACTCTGTTCTGAAAATGGCTTTTACATTCAGTTTGATGTGGTCTCAACTAGGAATTGAATAAAAATATCAAAAACAATTTTAGAATATTAGATGTACCGTTTGATCGAATTTGGGTCATCTGCTCATATATTTAAGGTAAATTACTTGACTCTTTTCTGAGTTGCTTACTATGTATTTGAGGTTTATTACAAAAAGATTGTAACGTACTTAGGTTCGCGCCCGTGGAAGCTAATCAACATGGTATACTTCTGACCTAACGAACATTCATATGAACTACAAAACTGCGTAGACAGACTTCGGCCTTCACTTTTCATTTAGAGACAGTACTTACTAAAGCTTGTCTGTTAAAGCAAAAACAGGATTGCTGGTTTTTTATTACCCACCTTTTTGACTTTTGCCAAATCAGTTGACTTAGAAGTAGTTTTCGATATAACTCGACATCATCTGATGGGTTTATTAAACTTTATGTAGCCCGGTAGTGTTTACCTGTCTTAACTTGGGACTGATCATTACAATGTGCCAGCTACTTTCCTTGCAATTTATCTCAGATATGCTACTACAGCTCGCTCATTTGAAATATGACTGCTTATAGATTCAAGTAGTTTGTGATGTAGCTTAGCAATCTGGTAGTTTTAAGAATATATTTCTTTATTGTTCCGGAAGTGACTGATTAACCTCAATGTTGCTGTAGGTTTTCAATTTTGGATGACTTCTATACACCAAGTCACAGATAGACGATAGATTTCTATTCTGATAGATGATTTGTGCGAAACAGAATCATTTGGAAATCATTCCTTGTATCCTGGATCTCACCTGAATCATTCAAAGACTAATGTTTACACTAAGTAGAGGTATCAGTGTATTCAGTAGTGTTTCACTTAGTAATGACCACAAATTACTACTAAGACATATTCTTCTATAATATAAATTGACAAAATAAAAACACCCAAGCACTCCTTTTGTAGTCCGGTCCACATTAACATATATTTGAGGTTTGAGCCCACTGCACTTCGCTATATTCAGTGAACTACAGACATTTTGAACTTAAAAATATTTGTATTTCAACTGATGGAGTAAACAGTTACTAGAATTGAGATCTATAACATGCTTCTGTTCTTATTCCAGAATCATCAGCTCCATGTATCTCCTGTACAGTCGGAAATAAAAAGCCATCTAGTATCATTATCTTTTGTTCATTAACTCTAAAAAAGTTCTTTTGTTAATCTCAGTGCTGTGTGTGCTGACGTATCCTTTTTTAAAAGTTCACTAATTTAAAACTTAAATACCTAGTGCTGTTAACAAAAATTTGATAATTAAGGTCTAATCCCATCAGACAGTGAGTTTATCCTTTCGGTTATTTACGTTCGTTTCAGAGACTGATTCCATAGATCAGTCATCCTGGTTATAAATATCCGCCGTTGAACTAGCAACCATTTCACAATTATGTTCAGTGATGAAGTTTCATTTAAAGTATAAGTAGCCTGCAACTAAGCGGGTTTAAGATCACTAGTTTCAACCTGCATGTGCCATCCACCAGCCACAACCTAGTACGTCTACTAAGATAATGTTTAGTAATATTAACTTCCTATTTACCGTAAATAAAAGAAACTATTGGACTAAAGACAGTCAATGCAGTTTTACCATCATTCTACGAATGGTTTAAACCTAGAAAGCATGACAATTAGCAACAATTAAATACTACTTTCGTGTTTTCATATAACTCGAAATCTTTTGCAGGTAGACAAAGTTCCCTGAACCAGTAAGTGAATACATCCGACCAGTCAATTTACAGATACGTATACACAATATCCTGTGTTCCAGAGTTAGGGAGAGATGTTAAGAAGGTAGGAGTCACACTGAATCTAAGCAAAGCAACCAAAATGCGTGTCTGTATTTCACAACAGAACAAGGTGCACCGTTACACATTACACCACGCCTCCAATAAATAATTGATAAGTAACTTGAACCATAACTGATATAATTCAACAAACGTTATCGAAACGTTTAAGCTCTCTCAGATTTCTTCTGCTACTGACCACCAGGACTTAGGCAAATTAAAAAATACACGGTACTCTCAACCACTGTCATATTCAGATACGTTGTCAGTCCAGATCAGTCTCGTACTAACAATCTTTATTTACAAAATGCATTCCAAATATGTTGCTTTTAAAAATTTCAAGTATTCAGAACTATATGTTATTACTGTATCATATTCCAGCCCTCAGTCCATTATTATTAAACTTTTTAGTCTGTGTAATGTGGTTCAATAAAATAGCTAGGGTTAAAACTTTAGTGAACTTCACCTGACGTAGCTACCCTGAGAGATGCCTCATACAAATATCACACGGCTTTGTGATCTCAGCCAAAATTAGTTTTCAGTAAAAAAAACTGTAGTTTGGTCGTGTATTGTCACAGAAGGAAAATAATTGGATCTTCTTAAAAAAGCTGATCAGAAGCCCTTTAAAATCCCACAAAAGAATTTGTAATGCTTTAAAACCAATCAACCAAACTAAAACTAAAAGCACCTATTTTAGTGAGATCACTGTCTGACATAGTTAATTTCAGCACTAACATAGTACATCACAGTAGAAAAGAAAAGGTAGTCTAAAGTAAAAGCAGATATAAATGATTATTCCAACGAAAATATATCTAGTAAAAAATTACAGTATTCAACCTACAAATAATATTATAATTGCACGAACTATAGAGAACACTAGGAACCAAATTCTATCACCATAGACTAGATAAACTAGACTTCAGTTTGTAAACATTCAAAGTAAAATAATGCGATTTGAACGTCTTATTAGCCTCAACCAAAATGCCCATTTAAATACGAGAAAGATCTTCTTTATAAAGCTTTGTGAATGAGGAAAGTTAGACAGATGCTGATGACTTGGTGTCCTAGAATTCAAACTCAGAAAAAATTAAAACTAACGAGGAATTTTAAACGAAAGATTGCAGTACTTGAAGGATCATCTTAACGGAAGTACATCACGTTACCAGATTTTTAAATGCTTCCCTTGAGAAATATATATACGTTGGACAGTAATGTCATTTCAAAAACTTTTTGCTGGCTGAATACACAAGAAACCTAGTGAGAGCTCCGTTTGACAGCGTTAGAAATCATTTAGTCTGATGGCACAATCAGCTATAAAGTATAGACTTTTGTAGAAATCCTACGCAAAGCGGACACCCAGAAGAATTTTTTAAGAAGCATTTTGTAAGCACGAAGAAATAATGAACCAACTTTCTAGCTGCATCAGTCTGCCACTAGACTCAAAGCTATGCCTGGTATATTACAGTTAGGCCAAGATAAAAACAAAAGAGCACTTTAGTGTGCCACAAACT